AGGTAAAATTGAGATAATGGAACTGCACCATGCCAAAGCCAGATGCCCTTGGTGAAGACCAATGCTCCCTCCCGTTTCTTTACAACGGGCCCTTCTTTGCTCTCACCTGCAGCAGCCAGGCGGTGTTGGAGAAAAGGAAAGATGTGGTGCAAATGCCCTGAAGAAAAATTGTAGCACTCGCTGTAGACAAAGGGGGGAACATCAGCTGATAGCTACACAGGATGAGGTTGATGAAACAAAAAACAGATACTGTAATCGAACAATACCAACTGGATTTCATTCACATTCTGACTAGTAACTAATATTGTCTTCCAATACTAAATGGGAGATTTCTGCAAGAAAACGCTAAAGCGTGCCTCAGAAACGTTTTATGCAGTCTGCACTATTTTTGTACTATTGATGCTTCAGGAATTGTACACTACTGTTTTTTCTTTAAGAAAAAGAGGGGAAAGGAAAACATGATTCCCACCCGGAGCAAGTTCTGAAGCATTTGAACAACATACACACTCTTTTTAAATGTGTAGCAATGCTTGCAGAATGATAAAGTAATTAAAGTCGAGATCTTAAGCCGAAACAATGGACTATTACCGTCTGTCAGACTGTGGCAGGAGATATATCCGTCACACAGTGCCAAAATGGCACAGTCTGTGAAACTATCTCAACAATTAATCACACTTTCTTAATTTCAAAGTAGTAGACTATGTTCATTCAACACTGTAACTCCTATAATACAAATAAAACTTGGACAAAATATGAACAAACTGCATGATACAAGTTTTGCACATACAGGTAGTTCTCACTTAACAATTACAGTAGGGACTGGAAAATTCGTTGTTTAGCAGGGCGGTTGTTAAGTGACTTGCACCCGATTTTATGACCTTTTTTGCAGCAGTCATTAAGCGAATCGCTGCAGCCATTAAGCGAATCACGTGGTCATTAAGAAAGTCACACAATTCCCCATTGATTTTGCTTGCCGGAAGCCGTCTGGGAAGGCCGCAAATGGCAATCACGTGACCCTGGGACGCTGCTACCATTGTAAGTGCGAACTGGTTGCCAAGTGCCCGATTCATGATCACGTGACTGTGGGGGTGCTGCAACGGTTGTAAGTGCAAGGACTGGTTGTAAGTCTCTTTGTTCATCACCGTTGTAACTTTGAACGGTCACTAAACAAATAGTTGTTAAGTGAGGACTACTTGTATCGTTTATCTCTAACTAGCAAGTTTCATCCATCTGGAAAAGGAGAGTGGCTATTAGGTCCTCTCTGAGTTTTTCTTAACCAGCAATTTTGCAGATCATACTGGCCAGCTATTCTGGGAATTGTAATCCAACTTTGAAGGTTGTCATGTTTCTTATCTCAAAAAGCAAGCTTATTTCTTCTTAGCATGTCTCAGTGGAATCAAGTGCAGCAGTTGGAAACCAGTTTTTTAGAGCAGATAGACCAGATTTATGATGACATCTTTCCCATGGAAGTTCGACACCTTTTAGCACAGTGGATTGAAAGCCAGGATTGGTAAGTTCAGACACCTTCTTTTTTTTCTGCCTTGAATGTTAGGGGACTGCTGAATAGGCAGATACAAATTGCATTATATTTATTACTGAATATAGATATAGCTTCTATGGGGAGGAAAAAAATTCTTATTGGGAATACAGTTAATTCATTATCCAAAGATAAACTATTGTCATGTTTTGCATCACAATCTGTGGCTGTACATGTTTTAGCCAGCATTACAGGTAGTCCTCAAGTTATGACTGCAATTGGGATCGGGATTGCCATTGCTAAGCGATGCAGTCATAAAGTGTGACACCATGTGACCGCATCACTTAGCGATGGCAATCCAGGTGGTCCCGGTTGTCATAGCAACCCAAGATGTGCAGGTCGTTAAGCAGGAAGTGGATGGAGTCCCAGGTAAGGAGTGCAGAGGTGCTGCAGGGGGGTTTGGGAGGCATACTGCAGGCCGCACACAAGTCAGGTGAAGGGGTGCTAAGTGCAGCATGAGCTCAGAAAGGCTGGGGAATGAGAGTGAGGGGTGCGTGTGTGTGCGCGTGCGTGTGAGTGCAGAGAGGCCAAGGAAAGAGGGTGCAGGGTGCGTACAATCACAAGATCATGGAAAGAGAGTGCAGGGTATGTGTCTGCGTGTGTACAATCGCAAAGAAGCCAAGGAAAGAGGGTGCAGGGTGCGTACAATCACAAGATCATGGAAAGAGAGTGCAGGGTATGTGTCTGCGTGTGTACAATCGCAGAGAAGCCAAGGAAAGAGGACATGGGGTATGTGTG